TTGATATGAATTCTCCCCCTCAACAGAACCTAGCATCTGACCTCCACAATCGCTTTCAAGCTACCATCACGACATGCCCCTCGCTGACACCCTATCTAATTTGAGTTTTGAGGTTGCAAAGAGCTGTTTGATATTTTCAATCAATTCATTGACATGCTGAAAAGAGTCATTAGCAAAAGTGTCCTGGTCTGTTGTGTGCAACTTTCCAAAAGTTTCTAATTAATTCTTTTTGCCGCAATGTAACTGTCCCATTCATCATAAAAATTGATTTTGATGAAATTAACCCACGATTGCGGCGATTCCTCTCGGTTCATTTCTATGTTGAGATATGCCTAGTCTCTCATGGAGTAACAATTACTGCATATTAATATAATGCTATTCATATCAAGTTATCCAACTTCATAATAACATTATAATTATGTGCTTTAATGCAACTACAGTTTTGGGGCTGCACTGATGGAGAAAGTCATGATAAAAGTTTATCGTTCCCTCTCACCCGGATTTTATTGTGTTGAAGAAATTGTAATAAGAAGTTCATCATCCGTACAGTCGTGTCATCAGTTACTGATCCTACTACTAAATGCCGCTTCCGGGGGTTCCGGGAGAGAATTGGTCCCCAGCAAACTATCCATGCGCTAAGAGGCAACCAACTGGATCAAGTGGTCAGACTCGTTGCCTTCGCTGATTGTGTGTCATTGTACTGTAGAGCAGCGTATTTATAGAAAATACACACATCCAAAAAAATAAATATTCAAAACCCAATTACTTTCATTTAAATTGCGAACAGAAACGCATGCATTAAATGAAAAACTCAAATGTATAAAACAGCACACGTAAATACCCAATGAAGATTTTTCAGCATGCGTACAAAGGGGTTAATTTCTGAAACACAATTACGAGCTAATTTAATATACGAGTCAAGCCTGTATATTTAGAACAGTTATCATGGTTACATACATCTAAAACATTATTTCATTTTTTTTTTAAATCTTAAAATGTTCACTCTTTTGGGGGGGGGGGGGGGGGACCCAATAGAGTGATGACTAGATTAGTGACAAAATATTGGTTACTCAGTGAAAAATGTAATAACCCAATTAAAATGGAAACCCTAGAGTAAAAACTCAATTGCTCGAAAGTTATCTGGAGCTCTGTGATGGCTCACAAAATCACTGGATTGTCTGGTTGATTGTTTCCAGGTAGCTAGCTACCTATGGATGGAATATTGCTCAGTGTGGCGTTAAACAACAAACAAACAAGAACAATCTTTATAACTGCAATACTATGACCAAAATACCAATGCAAATTAACCTGAACATGTAATAGCCACAAAAAAGATAACATGCAATTCTTTTGTAAAACAATTAAAATTCTATTACTCTCACAATACCTTTAACATTTCGACAAATTAATTTGTGGATAATTTTCAAGTTGCAATTTGCACCATTTATACAAGATGTACCACACTATCACACAGTGGTGCTATATTCGAAAACTAGTTAACTATAAAATGTTCCACATACAGATATTGACATATATGCAAGTTCAGTCATGGTCCTATCTGCGTACATAATATATGTTAAGACTACATACTACTGGCTGTTTGAAAGGTATCAGAATGCTGCCTAACGAATTTGATAAAGCAGAATAGATTAATTCAGGGAAGACCATGTTTGTTACATGTGTAATAACATCTTTTACAATCCTCTTGCAGTTTCTGTTAAATAAATACAGTATATCTCTTACAATCATCACATACTTTAAGTTGTAATTCGCTCAAGTCAGTGCAAAAGATTTTTGAGACTTCTAGCCTGAGCTTTGCCTTCAGCGTCATTTTCAGTGAAGTTAGTGTCATGTGGATAGGTGAGCTTACTGCACTGAACAGAATTTTGCTAGACTTGGGCTTCGGACTAGTGGCTAAAGTAGCAGACGACAAGAACCAAAATGCATCACTTCGATCATTTGTGTTATTCAACCTGCACAGTTCGTTCAAGGCTCATTGTGAATCAATTGATGTTCCGTCCCAAATCTCACACAAAACGTTTCTTAGGACTTTATTTAAGAAGAAAGCTGCACCATCTGTCACTGTTGGGTGTTAACTGTTTCTAGAAATTGCTGGACGTTAGCGGGATCCTCTAATGCCTCAGTAGGGTGAGTCACAAGTAAGCTATTTTAACAAACCAATTGAAAGGAGGCGCCCTGCTGGAACGGGATGTTGTCATGCAATTGTCACATCATTGGTGTGTATACTTGCACAGGCCATAAGCTACCGGGAAGGCAGATATATCAATGGTGTGTGCAGTGCCAGAGAGTATAGCAGTCCCAGACGAATTTTGCGGTAAAATTACAAAGTTCTGCAGGTGAAATTACAAAGTTCTGCAGTAAAAAACCTAACTGTTTCTCCCATAAAAAAATAATACAAACTCATGTTTTTTTAAAACTTGTTAATCACTTGTATTTCAGGGTTTTTTTTAAACGTGTCCACTTTATGTAGTAATAATGTCACAAGAACATTTTAAAGTGTGAATTCAATGATTTTTCTGCAATTCTGCAGTAAGTCCCATTTTCAGCTAATCTTCCCGCCATTGCATAATCATAGAATTTGTCTGGGCCTTTTATGGGCAAAACAGAATCTTGTTCTCATTGGGGTAGTATAGAGGAGAGATTTCATTGCCCAAATCCTTCATGATTGTGCTGTTATCACAATGTGCTTGTACAATTCCTGGGCTGCAGTTACATAGTAAATGTTCCGTGATTGGGATTCTCGAACATTTTGTTGTGATACACATCTTGATGGAAAGGTCAGGATACATGAAAACTGGAAACATGAGTCTGTGTAAAATGATTAGAAACTTGCTTGACATGAAACTTTGATGAATAACAACTTCTTTATAGTTTGTAATGACCTTCCAGGGCTGCTTCTTGCCCCTTCATCACTTAAATTAGGAGATAAACCTGTTTTTGGAAATCTGAGGTCTTTTCACTGTAGATTCGCTACATGTTATTTTAATTCAGAAGCGAGTGGTTTTTTTGTATGTGGGCTATCGATAGATTTATGTATTCATACACAGGTTTTGTGATAAAAGGTTTAATTCAGAGGTATCAAATGGAATTTGATACCTCGTGTGAAACCTGATTTGATCAATCCGAATCAAGCATTCTTCAGTGTCACGGTGAATGAAACCTGATGAATGACCATAAATTCTTGCGTGAACAGAACCCTTATTTGGGGATGTACGACACCATGCTGGTGCACTGTTGCCTGCCCTGGCTTGCTGGATGATCCAGCATATATAGGAATTCCAACAGTGGAATTGGTCTGGGACTAAAATGTCAAGTTGGTAGTGAGCTCCAGTATCAGACCATGAGCCAGCTGGTGGTGACTTGTGGGGGCTTGATGGAACAATGTGTTTGTGGGCAGTGCACAATAATCAGCTAAGTGACTTCAGAAAGTGCACAAGCATTGCTTGGCTTATTCTCAGCAGTGCACAATTAAGAAGAAGGTTGTTCCAGGAAGTGCACAATTGTATCCTCGGACCTTCCAAATGTGCACAATCGTTAAGCTAGTATTTTCGATTGAGTGCACAATCATTAGGTAGGACTTTCTTGGATGTGCACAGTTGTTGGATATTATAATCTGGGCAGTGCACAATTGTTTGGTAGGACATCCTTAGAAGTGCATCGTCTTTGGCAAGCATATTACCAGAAGTGCACAATTATTTGGTAGAATGTTTTGTTCAGTACACAAGCTTAACTTATTTCAGTTTATTATTAATAAGGTGTTCAGAATAAAAGGAGTTCCTTGCATCATTGAGTTCACTTTTTATCTTGGGTCTTATCATTGTTTTACCTTTGACATGATGATGATGATGATGATGGACGATGATGATGGACATTTCTATTGTGACATATCCACCGACAAGTACATGCTCAAAGCAAGTCTGGAAAAGGACCCCTTGCCTTTCATGCTTATTTGAATGTGGGTTATTTAAGGGATCAATCAGCCATGCTAGATCTACCTGCCAGTATGCTGATTCTTCCTGTAAACATGTATGCATTTAGTCATAAATACAAGCAATGGTATTTTACCATGAGTTTACATTGAAGCAAATAAAGAAAATGGGCTTATAGAAATTGGTCTGTGCAGATTTTACATACAACATGGTGATGGTTTTCTATATACACAAGTCAATCCGCAGTTTTCTAAAGGCTCATTACACAAAACCCACATTGTTAGCCAGTGTCAACTGGTCCATTGTCGGGTATCGGCACAGCGGCATGCTGTTATGGAACGATAATGTACATTAGGCTCCTGTTCCCAGCAACTTAGGAGATTTTCATTTGCTGGAAATCCCCTAGATGTTGTAGGTATCACAGCCAGGTTCCTGTGCGATCAGAGAAAGCTTCAACCAGCCACGTTCTCTTTCAGCGTGCCGCCAGTTCGATCAGTCAGCTCCCAACACTTGACCATAGTCCTGTAGAAGGCAAGGCGCCATGTTAAAGAATATTGATTCACCTTGCACAGTTCTCCAAATTTCTTGCAACGACCTTGACCCTCACCTTACATAGGCCTCAGCCTGTGAAGCCAATTAATTGTGCAATTGGGCAACATATCTGCTGAGTATGCAGTTTATCCTGCATGGTGGAATCGGCCTTTGGTTCTGTCCGCAGGAAATAATGAATTGACGTTTCATCGGTGCGTTATTGAAGATGTCCATATGAAAAACACAGATGAGCCGAGAGATTGCGGAAACCGACTCACCACTGTGTGTGTCCATGTTCGTTATGCAGCCTACAAGTGTATCTGGTATTTGTGTGGATCGAATGTAGATCTACGCCCAAGCAACCATTGATGAAATAAGTAAAGATGTTCCATTCTGTTTCAGTAGTATACACACTGACAGAGATAAATGCCATCATGAATTATTCAAAAAAAATTCTCCAGGCTGAAACTACTGTTACTATACTGAACCATTATTATTAATGACCTCTTCGTCTTTCAGCGTCTAGAAGGGTTGAGTGCATCATGGCAGCTAGCTAAAGCCGAGGTGCGTCAGGAACGACATCATCAGCTGCAAGAGAAATTGGCCCTTCAGCATCACCTTCTACATCTCCAAGATGAACTCAGCAAACAACGACGCAGTCGAGAAGAACAGCATCTACACCAGGTAAGGGGCACCTGCAACATTATCAACAGATGAGTCCTTGTCATACACCCCTCCCACACCAGATACGTCTTCTTTCTCAAATCCAGGATCTTAATCCAGCCTATTTCAAGGATATTGAGCATCATCCGTTAAAACACATCTATAAAGTTACATCAGTTTTAGTACTTACACTCCAACATTTTATGTATTTACCCCGAGAAGCAGGATCTGTTTATTGATGTTTCAAGGGAAAGGAATTAGCAATTCGGGATTTTTAACTGCCAAGCTTCCTATTTGAAGTATTTGTCTCTGAAATCGACTTGATAGTGGAGCACTAATTTTCTCTGCAACAGAGACGTGTAACTTATGTGTGCACTTATCACCTCCCTGTGATGGTACTGTTGCTTAATCATTGTGACCTGAGAAAGCCAACAACGTTCAATTTAGGCTGATTTAGTGCCAGAGCTGATGCTGGAAGTCTGTCTTCTGGGCAGAACAACAGCCTGGCCATCTTGTAATTCTCGGGGTCATGGGCTCAGCATTAGTTTGCACATATCAGCAAGTTGGTAATTTAACGGCTGATTAGGCCGAGGTGATCAGAATCCCGAACGTATTTAGCGGCAAACGTAGGACGAGACAGCTGTAGGTTACATCTTCGACATGGGTCCACCGTTCTGGCGATTTGAGCCAATTTGAGCTGGTATTGCCACTCTGTGTCCGGACCGGCATTGGCAGTGTTCCATGGTGATTTCCATACAAATGATGAAATGTTCGCTACTCTGCTGTCGCTTCTTTCCTCACTGGGGAGTTGATGCGGATCTAATCCTGTAGTAATGCCGAAACCAATACTAGAATGATGGGAATAAACAACTTGATGGTGATACTTATTTAGTATCCTTCACAACTGGGTTTTTCTTTTCAGTGTAAATTGACAATTTCAAACTTGTGATTTTCGCGCTTGATAGATGTTTTGAAATAAAAGAATTCAAAATTATTTGCTTTGATAGTTTAGTAATATTGGTGGCAGGCATTTCTTAAAATTGACAAAAATAGGAGAGAATGTTTTTACTTATTTATCATTATTGTTGTCAAGGAAACATTAGAACATTAGAAGGTATTCTGTAACATTATTTCTTTCACGAGGCTGGGGGGGGGGGGGGGGGGGGGGACATGATATAGTAAGAGCAACAAGAAGGGGGCTAATATTCCACTTGATTGATGCCTACGCAAATGTTTACTCAGTTTTATAAATGTTACAGAAAGAAACTGTTGGGATACTGGTTAGAATTGGTTCCCAGCATTTAAAGCCTGTCATACGAAACGACAGTGAATCGGGTGATCAGACGCAGACTTACTTGATTGAGTGTTATGGAACTTCGATGTTGAACATTACTCATAATAACAATCACTAGTTATTTTGAAGCTGCTGTCATTTATCTGAAAAACATTGCTGAATGTCGGTCAAACAATCAAACAAGCTTGCCAAAAGAATACATCAGTACACAACAATACTAAACAACCCTTAAGTACCATTTTTCTCAGGTAGGGTGGAGTAGCCTAGTGGTTAAAGAGTTCGATTGTCACGCCGAAGAACCAGGTTCGATTCCCCACATGGGTACAATGTGTGAAGCTCATTTCTGGTGTCCCCTGCAGTGATATTGCTGGAATATTGCTAAAAGCAGTGTAAAACCATACTCACTCGCCCACCGTTTTTCTCACTGTACCCATTATAAAGCAAGGGTTAATCAGCCCAATAGCCTTAGAAAATATAGCTTAACATGGGCCTCATCATAAACCTGATTGGTGGATGCACTGCACACACAGATGGGATTTAAACCTAGTCCTGGAGTGTTGATCAGGTGGACACTGCACCCCTGACCTGCACTCCTCGACTCTCTTCAAAACTTATATTCGTTTCACATTTTCTTTGTTTTATACGTTCTTGTGTGTAAAACTTGACAATTAAATAGAAAGGGTTTCATGAACTTTAACTTTCTCCCTTGACATTTATGTAATCAATTTGAAATAGAAGAAGCCTTTTAAAGTGAAAGCTTTATGACAGTTTGCAACAAAATTGCAAATAAATAGGAAAATATTTACTGTTGGAAAGGTATGCTTACCGTAATGGCAAATTCAACCAACAGTTTCCTAATTTTCTTAAACTGATTTAAAAGTGGAGCTCATTTTTTTCATTTGAACTTCGTTAAGAGAAGTTTGGTTAGACAAGGGATGTTTTCAAATCCAAGAAAGGATTTATTAATTACAGAACTTTGTGATGTGCCAAAAGATGTTGTTATGATGTGCTAATTGAGGTCATTAGCAGAGCAATCGACATCGCAAATACCTCCTGCTAGTCCACCACCTGCCCACAGAGACCCACACAGGGTTCGGACATCAGAGGTGTGAGATGCAAATACACAGGGTAAACACCCCCCTAAGCGTCTCCGAGCCTCTTTAAACATCACATCTAAAATACCCAGGTAAAGTCAAGCGTGCCACCTTGCAAAAAACACTAACACTCCACCATGAAAATCCTGACTTTTGACTTGGCTAAAAATTGCTTTTTTTTAACGTTTTGTTCCTCCAGTAAATTTTTTCAGTGTTAAAATATCAACTATGTTCCTGGTTGGAGTGTTGTGTTGTAAAACGGATTATTCACCATGTAGGAATAATATTGTAGCCAAGGGTATAGTATTGATATTGCATGCAATTGTGTAAGAACAAAATCTGATATGCTTAAAACAGGCATAAAAAGCTCATTATGTTAGGGCATGCTGGCTACACAGTGTAGGTGAACCATTGTGACCAAGTACCACAATCACTTGTAATGACACCAGGCTATGCAAATGCAATCGAGAAGACTTAAGCTTCGTGGTCGTAGCTTTCAGGTATTTCAGTTGCGTGAGAGGGGAGCTTTTGCGGAGCCAGCCCAACTCTAGCTGCAAATCGGAGATCTTTTCACACAAGGTTTTCAAGAGCGCTGAATCACTCTCGTCTAAAGGACTCCACCCGTTATTGGAGTTTCAAGCCGGTATTCTAAACACAATTAAGACGTTAACAGCCGTCAGGTGAACTGTCAGGGTTTCAAGTCAGTTCATCTTCGCCCAGCTTGTCAAACCAACCGTCAAGCAATACCCTCCCTTCAGGACACATTGCACAAACAGCTTCCATACTTTCCACATTCACTGGAGTGTCACAGGGACCTTTGCCAGGCTGCCATGGCCAAGGTCACACTCTCCCCATTCTGAAGCATTCCCTCAACGGCTTGAGCTTGGTAATGAATTTCTTGTGAAAGACTCTAGGCTTTCACGTACAAATCTGTTCATTTTCTATTAGTAAATAAATGGTTGATTTATGAAAGAAACGAGCAAATAAGAACTACCTGTGAAAACTGTACCTATTTAGGGGGTTGACAATGGACTTGACGAGGTTCTGTTTACCGAGCAGGGTAAATAAATCCAGCATTTGTCATATTATGATAGAGAACATCTGCAGTGAAAGGCTTGTCTGCCTTGACAAACATGTAATATTTTTTAGTTATATAGCTATAAAGTTTCTGATAAGAATACTTTAACTTTTGACATCCTTTTCGATATGAAAACCACTTGAAAAAGCATCAGTGTCAAACTGTGACATTCAAGGTACAGGCCTCAAATGCCAAGTCAATTTAAATGTTAAAACCATCTCTCAAGGAAGGATGAAGATGAGACTGACTTGTGCACAGCATCATGGCAGCATCATATCAAATGAAGCAGGTGAAGAAAATGCTGTCAGAATAAAATAATTGACGAGAATTTTGACTTACTTGACTGACACAAGATCCTATGGGCACAAAACTATAAATTGAGCATGTTATTACCAGTGGTATCCTGGCTGTGCAGTGAAGTAGCTGTAAGCTGAATGATCGGCAGTATTCCCCTGCTCTGGGGTTTCACCAAACTGGTAAGCAGTGACGATATACATCATTTTGATGTAGTCCCTGCGGATCTGCGAGCTGTGATAGAACTGTGTTCTGTACAGAATGATGTTAAACCCATCACTGTCAGCTTGGTCATGGCAGTAGGATGCAGAGCCACACTGATGATGCTGTAACTTATCCATGGTAAAACAACAGGGACTCTCATGATGAAACACTTAAGGATTGAAAGCCACTCCCAGACCTAAAAATGGGCCATTGTAAGTACTGTGCATCTACATCCTAAGGGGCGGTGGGGTAGCCTAGCGGTTGAAGCGTTCGCTCATCACGCCAAAAGGCCCGGGTTCGATTACCACTCTTTTCTGGTGTCTCTGCAGTGGTATTGCTGGAATATTGCTGAAAGCAGTGTGAAACCAGTGTAAAACCATACTTACTCACTGTCATGAAACACTTAAGGATTGAAAACTGCACCCACACCCAAGTAATATGCCCCTATACAGCCTTTGACCCGTGAAGATTCCGGGGTAGAATAGGTCTTCAGCAACCCATGCTTGCCGTAAAAGGTGACTATGCTTGTCGTAAAAGGCGACTAACGGGATCGGGTGGTCAGGCTCGCTGACTTGGTTGATACATGTCATCGGTCCCAATTGCGTGGATCGATGCTCATGATATTAATCACTGGATTGTCTGTTCCAGACTCAATTATTTACAGACCAACGTCATATAGCTGGAATATTGCTGAGTGCGGCGTTTAACAACAAACCAACCAACCAACTATACAGCCTTTGTTGCGCATCTACATTCTACAATACCTAAATCACTTTTTTGGGGAAATGCGTGTATGTGATGTCATCAGCCTGGGATAATTTGTACTAATTGTTGGTTTTAGACGTGGAATGTAATGATTCAGCGATTGGGAAATTTGCGTCCGTTTTGGCTCGCTGGTTTTAAAGGAGGTGTGTTACTACTTCCCATCACACATTGTTACTTTCTCAAGCGACTTGCCACCACTGCTCACTCAACCAGTACAATTGCAACATAAAGAATTCACCATCCCATTCATGATGAGAAATATTGTGTTCAGCGATTCACTCAGGGTACATTGTCCCAGCAGGAGGCAGCACACCTCCATGTGGAATACGAGAATTCCACCGGCACACGGTATTAAGATCATGACATCACAGTAGATCTGTCAGGATTAAAGTCCCATTTCTGGAGCTGAGTCAACACAGAGGTCGCTGGATCAAAGCCACTACTTGCTTATCACGCATCACATTACATGCCTCAAGATGGATAGCATTTGACAAAAAGGAAGGCTAAAGAAAATTTAAATTTGAATAATTGTTATGAAAAAATGTTATCATAACTGGGCTGGAATTACAAGATTTGTACTTTGAAATGTGCACTGAACCCATCAGAAGTCTTAATAAGACATTATGAAACTCACTACATGTGGTGTCTCCTTAGAGACTTTGTTCCAAGTAAGCCTCTGTCCTCCCAGCAGTTAATGGGTACCCGGTAGGATGAGATGATAATGTGAATAAAAATTTGTTTGATCCAAATAATTAAACCTCCAGTATGTTGGCTAAGTTTGCTGGTGTTTTATTTGAAGGCCATGTCGGAAGTAGGTTATTCTCCTGCTTCATCTAGGGGCACGGGTGGCCCAGTCGTCTAAGGGGCCGCCAATCGCGAGTTGCATCCCTTGGGCACACTAGAAACCTATGATTGTGGGCTTGAATCCCGGTTCGCCCCAATTATGTTTCAAGGTTTGTCAGCACCATACCCGTGCTTGTGGGTTTAACTGAAGTGGTAAATGTCTGAGACCTGCATCACTTCGGGCTTTCCTCCCACATTAAGCTGACACGCCGTGATATAACTGGAATAATGTTATAAGCGGTGATAAACCCAACTCACTCACTCACTCCTGCTCCATTTTCACCACGTTGAAAGCAAGGAGGAATACTACTAAGCTAAGACAATAATGCTGACTATTTCACTGTTGCCATAAATGTTCAATTATTTATTATTCATTTTTTCAAGGGAAGGGGAGGACTCGAATATCACCAAGGTAACGAGTGTTATGTTGAAGTGCCGTGTCACGTTTGTCGAATCTACTGTCCTATAACAAGATTTGAGTTGAAATATTTCGTATTTTTATAACTAACATTGTCCAATAAGGAAGCAATGTTTCCAATCAGGCCCTGGGTGCATTTCGAACACTGGCCTCACATTGTCCTTAACTGAAGCTGAGTACTAACCCTCCTAATTCACATGACTTGAATTGTGATATCAGCTTGTTCCAAGTTAATCATGCAAGCACTTACTACCCGGAATCACATCAGGGATTATTTCAGAAGAAACTGGTCTTCATTGGGCAACTAATGAGGCATACAGCGAGGCAGAAGATATCGCTGCTTCTGATTGCTGCTTCTCAAGTAATCCCTGATCGGAGCCACGCTTCCCAAATGCACTTAAACTCTTCCCCCTTCACGAGCATCCCCTAATCTAACTCTTCAAAGGAAGGGCTTTTTCCCTCTGAGAAGAAATACCAACATGTTGTTTTGTTTATTCATCAATATGAAAAGTACAGTTCAGTGTGTTCAGAAACACTCCCTCTGGTCCAAACCTACAGACCAATTTTATCTGGATTATCTCCGAACTGTTCACATAATTGTAATTTATGAAGCCCTTTTCTGGTGGCCCCGCCCCCTGCCGTGATATTGCTGGAATATTGCTAAAAGCGGCGTAAAACCATACTCACTCACTCATGTGATATAACAATTCAGAGGACTACAGGCATGACAGATTAACCGTAGTCATCTGAAACAATTGGGTGTTCATTAATTACTTTTCAGAAGTATAACTGTCCTTGAAGACCATGATGCCAAAAATTAATTTCAGCCTGTACTCAACAGTTCTGACATAGACTTAGAAATATCCCGAAAAATATTTTACGATTACTGAATTTGAACACATAGCTCTATAGATCTAAGTGTTAATTTGTTTTGGTATATTTGTTTGTGACTTTCCATCAGCAGGTTTACATACTAATGCCTATACTACATCCATGCAGGCTTCAAGATGCAACACAGAATTTTTTCCACCAACAAATGTTATTTACTTCTCTGAGCTAATAATGCCAAGGGAAAGCATATGGAAACCAAGTCCTTATTTCCAGGCACAGTGCATTGATTTTGAATTTGTACAGATGGCAATGTTGTATCAGGGTCATAATACTCCTGATACTTCCAATAAACTTGGGTAAAATAGAAATTTGTCAATAACGGCATGTGTTGTTCTCTGGGGACTTTGTGGACCCTGTGACCTCTTACATCACTGAATAGCCCCAGAACATGGATAATATGATAACCATTTAATGTTTCGTTTCGTCCACAAAGGCTGATATTGATATGCTTTGTGATACAGAAATCGGGTGATAATTACACACACACACACAGCTTGCATCTGTGAATTGGGATTGACATGTGGAGGGATTTTTGTCATGATGTGCCATTTTCCGAAACTGGAAGCTTGTCTTTTGGTGATGATAATTGTTTCATATCAACATGTGATATAGTAGTTTTCATATATGTAGAGAGGAATTTGATTGTATTATGATGATAGGTATGGAAAGTGACACCCTGTTCTCTTGCCTCAGAGATATCTAGGAATTGCCTTTGTAGTCAGACATTTCTAGTCTCATTCCAGTCTCTATTATTCTCTTGAATAATTGTTGAAGATTTGCTTTATCTTTTACATTCAAATCATTCATAGCATTCTAGTGTAATTTATTGATTTATTGATCCATTAATAATTTATCATGGGACATGAGGAATTTTATTGTAAACGCAGAAATGTTGAAATCAGGGTTTCAATCCACAACTTCTATAATCAGGTCTTCGTAAGAGTTAATATCATTATATGAACATGTTTTTCATGTACAGTATTTAGGGACTGTTTTTCATGTACAGTATTTAAGGACTGTTTTTCATGTACAGTATTTAAGGAGCGCCTACCTTTCTTTTGTTGATCCTGCAACAGCGGGCAAGAATACATTTCGGGGAAGTCACCGCCTCTTGAAGCATTAGCATATAGATACAGTTACATAGCTAGATGAACAGAAACATGATTGTGCATGGTACGGAGCTTGTCTAGTAATGCATGGTTGATGTTGTCTGAGATTGTCAATGATAGTTAGTGGTTATTACACAAGTAATGTGTATAGTTTGTGCATGTGTCTCCTGGTTAGCTGGATGTTATTGGAGCTGTGTTATATTTAAATTTGACACAGCCCAACTGAATGGTGGGCCATGAACTCTTAAATTTGTAACGCATGATTTTTATCATGTTTTTCTTTTCAGTCCTTTTGTTTTTTCCAAAATGTATAGCCAACCAATCTTTCAATATTCAAGGAACTACAATTTGGCTTTTTGTAACATATAATTTCAATATTTTATATTGCCAAGTGACTTTGAAAACGAATTACTTTCCTTGATGTTACTACAATGATGCGGAGTTCAAATATCTCTATTTTAAGTTTAAGTTAATATTGTACTCAGGGGTGTGTGGTCATTTTCTACCTCTCATTGACCAATCATAATTATGTATTTTCAAATTTTATGATATAATGTTTGATAAATCAAACAATGACTTTCTAGAACATATTCACACCTGAAATTCCCTTCTCCCAATTCTGTGTGAACAGGGATTCTGAAAATAGTTTTTTCTCTGATTTACCCATACTTAAGTGGACCCTTGAGATCCAAGCACTGATTGCATACATTGTCACATGGAAAGTAGTTTTTTTCTTATGGCATTATGACGGTGTTGGCCTGGGATGTGAGGAAGGAGCAGGCAATTAACTGTTGTTATGTCCAAGACCATGGAAGCCTCATCCACGAACCAGGGGCTATTTTTCTCTCCATACCCTTGGGTATTGTAAAAAATGTTTTTGTCCCCAGCAGGTGCACACTGACTGCTCTCTCGAAGCCTGGTTTTAAGTGGTGGATAGACACAAGGTTCAACATCTAGCACCATTTGAAATCAGTGCCTCTGGAGTTGCCATGACAACTGATTGATTACATCGAATTCGCATCTTGGATGTGAGAGTTTGCTAAAGCATGGCTTCCTCTGTATGAATGAAATAGATTAGGCCGGTGTGGAGTCCGGACTCGGACTTCAAGCTTGACCCTTCATCTCAGCTCGCGGCATTTCGTGGTTTGTTCTGTGTAATCGCATTTGGCATCATCAGATACTATCTTCCTAACCAATATGCAGATAACAGAACTTGGGAAGGTTGGAACCTGACAAACTGGTAGAGCAACTTGAGTATAATAAACTGCAGCCTTACCCCTCCACTAATTAACTTAATGCAGGACCGGTTTCCACACTACCGCCCAAGAGAGCCCGTGTTAATCATGGTGCCAGGCAAGGCATTCATTTAATACTATTTAAATCGATGGAATCAAGTTAGGGATATTTGTCTGTGTTGAGCAATATATGAGATGTCATTTAGAAGTTAAATTAGAATCTACAGAACCAATTCAGAATGTGTGATGCAGCTTATATTACTCTTCTGTATACAAGTTTTTGAAATGATGTTCTTTTTTCATCTGGAGAAACAATCATGAGTTGCTAAGTTCATGTGAATTGCTAATTTTATCTGTGTACACTGTGCAGTAAATATGAGATTATTTTTTAGTCTCAGAATATCAAGATGCAAGTCAGAATGTATGGACTCCAGCTAGTAATAATCTTCTGTTTCAGCTTTTGAAATATTACTTGCAAAATACAAGCAGAATGTTTCGCTTCAAGCTAGTAATTATATTCTGTACACAGCAGTATTACTCGAGAGAAAGTCTAAATCTGCCAAATCAGGTCCGAATGTATGTAGTCTAGCTGATCGTGTTCTTCGTCATACGGCAGTTTAGAACATGTTGCAAGTCGGAATCCATGGAGCCTATTCAAGGTTAAATGTTGCTAATGAGAATCTGCCCCAGTAGCAGCAGCAGGCTGGAGCATGGCGGGACGCTGGCGGGAGGGCTACTCTGGTTATTGAACCGTGTCTTGGTGGAGTCCCCGTTTTCTCCTCTTGTGCAGACAGAAGCACGGTTAACACCTTACTGAAATAAGCAGGCAAGACTTTTGATTTGGAGATGAAAATAATTTATTGATTTTCGGTTAACTAAAGCTGTGGAAGAAAACATGGTATTGATTCATACCTTGTGAAAGTTGTGTCCAAGTTTTTTCGCTCTGTGAGAGGTTGTTCTTGTAGATTAGTGAGATTATAATATCTCCGAGGTTTTGTACCCACGATTTGGATAGATTTGAAATGACAAAACTAGCATGGTTTTAGACCAGGATGTAAGAATGTCATTTTAACACAGCTTGTTTTAGAAGAGATTGATATCTTGTGATATTGAAGGGATGGTTGGTAAGCCTCATCACTAAAGTGTTTGCTTGCCATGTCAAATATCTGACCTCCGGTTCCTCATTGGTACTACGTGAAGGCCATGTTGGTGTCCCGGGGGGGCACAGGTGTCCTTGCCGTCTTAGGTGCCGCAGAGTGTCATCCCTTGGGCGCGCCTTGAATCTTTGATTGTGGGTTCGAATCCCGGTTCACCCTGATTTTGTTTCTCGGTTTGTCGGCATCATACCTGTTCTCACGGGTTTCACCAAAATGGTAAATGACTGCGACCTGCATCACTTTGGGCTTTCCTCCCACATTAAGCTGACATAACATGATATAACTGGAACCCTGGTCAACTCAATCACTCACTCACTCTTGGTTTCCCGAATATGATATTGCTGGATATTTGCTAAAAGCGACTTAATACCTAGCACAGACACTCACTTTTGTAATATTTGAGTGCAGTCATTGATTTAGTTCCAGTACATAGTCAGAGGAATATTCCTGCAATATCTGTTCCGTGCAGCCATTCTCAGTTGCTGTTGGTTAGGATAGGACTTTGACCTGTAGTAATAAGGCCAGCAATGTTTCATTGTCATAATGATATCTTTACAACTGGTTTTATTGATCCAGGAACCGACGACAAAGTATGGAGCTGT